AACCAACTCAACACTCGGAAACCCTCGACGGGTTAGAAGCTGAGCACATGAAGGCGCGGTTAACACGTGGTGAAGAAACCAAGAGGAGGAACGAAGAGTCTCAGAATCTCCCACAAAGCAAGCGTCGGAAGCGAAAAGACAGCCATGCTGATGCTAATGAGGCTGCCAGCTTTGAATTTGACAAGCAAGGTAAGTGCTAATACAATAAGGTTTTCCTGCAGGTTTCTAAAACCTGTGTATTTCATTGTCTGGCAGATTTCTTCGATGCCATCGACGCGCCATTGTTTCGGGTGTGCGGAAGCTGTGGTGAACTCGGCAATGCAAACAACTCAAAGTTGAAACTATACGATCCCAAATCTAAATTTTTTCTCCTCTGTGTAATGCCGATGAAGAGTGCGAAATCATTCCTGAAGGCCTTGTAAACGATGACTGTAATGAAAGTGTTCGTGAAGGGCTTGTAGCTAGCGAAGACAAGACAATGATATGGCTATGTGACAGATGTAACAGATCTCTGTTGGCACGGAAAACACCCAAATTTTGCCGAAGTAGTGGCTTTAGAATAAGAGCTGTTCCAACTGAACTGGCTGAATTCAATCGAATGGAGTCAAGGCTAATTGGCCTTGGCATTTCTTTCACTACGTGTGTAAATCAATACAGAGATGGCCAGGAATTTACTCGCGGAAATGCCGTTAACTATTGGAACGAGCCGGGTGAAATGGTAAAAGAGCTTCCAAGACCATTAAAAGACTGTGGCGTTGTATTGCTTCAATCAAGATCTGATATCACAACAAACTACTTTCGTGTGCGTCCAGATTTCGTGAGGCGCGCGCTGTGTTGGCTTATAGCTAACAACCCTCTCTATGAAAACATAAGAATCTCAGAAGAAAATTTACGAGAATTAGATGATAACCTCAACGGCGATATACCATGCATATCCGTCACGGATGATGAGGTGAGCGAGCTGCAAGGACACGTTAATCAGGCGAACAGCGAAAAACAAGCTAAGCCAAATAACTGCAATGATGGCACCCGTCGTGGGAGTGATGATAGCTCAAGTGGATATTGCAATTCGTTGGTATGTGAAGGAGCATTAAATGCTAACACCGACTCGAGTGTCAGTGAAAGCGAACCCGATATTCTTGATAATCTGACGGAGTCATTTGAATTAGAAGTTAACCAGGATGGCAAACAAACCGAAGTGGGTTATATTCTAGATTCTATAGGGGTCAATTCTTCAGAACTCAGATCCCGACTGGTGAACTGTGTCGTCAAAAAAATATTATAAACGAGTACACAACTAAATTGTTGATGCAGTGCTGCTTCCCTACGTTATTTCCGGACGGCTTAGGGGGTTATAATTCCGTGGGTGGGTACAAAACTAGACTTCATGAGTATAATTTAGCCGAATATTGCGCGCACTTGATGAAGTGGCACGATAGACGCTTTGTTATCCACGGCAACTTTAAATTCTTTTGCATGAATCTAGTTCAACGCCGCCAAATTGATGGTTTAGTGAGACGAATCGGATATTCTGAAACTCGCGCTGAAGCAATAGATTTAGCGGGTTGTGGAAGG